AAAAAAAAAAAAAAAAAAAAAAAAAAAAGAGTGAAAAGTAAGTATACATCATCTGAAGCAATTCTGCTCAACTGATCTATCTATAATACAGGAAACGTCCCACACTTGTGCTGGCCAATACAGCACCACGACACATCTGTGGGCACTGGAGATTTAAAATGTGAACAGGGCAAGTAGGAAACTGAATTGTTTAATTGCTTATATTTTTCTCTTTGTTTTGGGTTAATCTTTTTATTAGTATGTGTTTTCGATACATAGTGCATTAATCCTGGGCAATTGGTACATATGCTTATTGAACCTTAATCTTTTTAGCTCCCCTACTCCGCATCTTCCTCAGATCCTCTTCCCCAAAACTGATGTATAAATTTTATTTAATCTTAATTTTCAGATAAAACTAAGTAGCCACATAGGGACAATGTAAGTTGTAGTTAATACAGGTCTAAAACTTTATCACCCAGTGAAACCATCATCTGCATACTGATGCATAAATCTGAAGACTTTTAACCTAACTTACAATCAGCCTTTTAAACTTTTGACATAGGACAATATATCACAGCTACCTTTCTATTTCTTCAAAAGTAAATATGCGTCACTCCTCTGTCTAATCGTACCCTGGATGAGGGTATTCTGATTATTTCTGTTGTACACAAAAAATGTGATGAAGACCCCGGTGCGTACCTGCAGTACATTTGTCCAGTTATCTCCTCTGTATAAATTCCAACAGGGAATGAAAGTCGCTTGGAAATATTTGCTTAAGCCAAGTTTACACCATCACAAAGGTTAAGCTGAGGGCAGAAACAGTTGAGAAGCTTCTTCCATTGTAAGGCAAAAACAAGTGAACACAGAGCTTGGAACATCAAAGAGCCCCTGTAAGGTGTTCAGTAGAAATTTCAGTGGATCCAGGCAAGTACTATTGGAGTGGTGACATCTTGGCTCTAGGGAAACTAAAATAAGAGGGAAAAAACCATGCCAGAATGAGTTTGCTTTGATTCCTGGGGGAAATCCTTTCATTTTACTCTGCCAAATAAGAAGCTTTGTGTTTTCTGTTTTTCCTAATGTCAAGGTTTTCTGAGATAATAACCTTTAAATTATGCCATCCTGACTTAGAGACAAGAACAAAGTAGAGTCCTGCAAATGGAATAGGGGAGTGGATTTCAGAGGATTTCATAAATCTGATGGAACAGCTCGGATGGAGCCCATCTGAGCTCCCGTAATTGGAGAGTTTAACAGGGCTAAGAAATACTGTGCGGTGTTCTCTACCATGCTGCTTTGGTTCACCTAAGGCTAAATGAAACAAAGCCTAATAGCAAGTCCTTACTTAGGAAGTATTGATAATCACATTAGCTGATCACTTAGGGTGCTTAATACATATTAAAGTGATTCTATTTTGCTTTATTTAAATGTTTAATAAATATCATGATCATCTATAAGTTCACTACATGGTAACTCTTTTCAAAGCTTCTGTAATATTCCCTTGTAGCAAAAATTATAGAATGTAGATATTCTGATAACCAAAAATATACATTTCTAATATGTCATATTAGACATATTTGTTATTTGATCTCTATTTCCTTTACTTTCAGACAAAAATGCTGGAATTAGTACTTAAATATATATGACTGAGGATTCATCAAATAAACACAAAGAAAATGACCAATTAATAGGAATGGATAATTTTGAAGTACTCTTCCATTTTCAAAACTCAACTTTTTGAAGAAAATCTAGCCAATTGAATCCAAGTTGTTCTAATTAAAAGGCAATACTTTTGTTTCCTTCTCTGACCTCAACTCCATTCGTTGTGCAGTGACTGGATGGAGAAAGTGTCCGTGGGAAAGAAATGGTGATCAAATAGAGAATTTCAGAAACCTGAGAAGCTACATTTTCTTAATGTTTTCCACACAGTGTATTGTAAAGACAGGTGTCTTATTCAAGAAAAGCAACTAGTCATTCAAAGACACAGGCTAAACCCTAAATTGGACATAAATATCATTTCCTGTGCTTTTGTTTCTATAGATTGGGGATTTTTATTTTTGTTTTGAAACTTTAATTGCAGATTCAAAGTAATTAAGCAGGATTGATTGTAAGCAATATATGCACATTTTTATGAGATTTTTATCTTTTAGGGATCATCCAAATGGTTATGGAGACTGATTTAAAAAAATCTAAAAGTATTTAAATGCAAATGATTCATGATTCAAATTTAAGGAAGAACAAAGGAGGGGATATTTTGATGTTGAATTCAGAATTTAATCAATGCAAATTCTCATTTGATTATCTGAAACAGGCACAGAAGACCAATGGCTAAAGAGGAAACATGCACCCTTTCAGAAATTCCAATTTTATTTAATAAGTGTTTATCCTTGTAGCATATAGAGATATAATTTGATATATATTTTTTGAATCCTACACTGAAAACAAATTTAAATTTAAAATATTTTAAATGAGTACAAGTAAAATCAAATCTCTCTCTCACACTAAATCACAATTGGTACCTCTGAGAAATGGGAAGTGAAAGACAAATGTGATTTTCACCTATCGTTTTGACAATGACAAAATGGCTTATTCACAGTAAGATATCAAAACACAAAATGAATAATGCAAACAGAACTTCACAACTCGCCACTTCTTTTTATAAAAAATCATATAAAATCCGAACAAGCATTTTGTTACACACAACTCCTTTAAGCAAATCTTTATTGAGTGTTTGTTAGGTGTTCTATTAGACAAAATCTAACACTTGATTTAATGGAAACTTTGTGAATCCAGCCTGCGAGAGCGGTGCTCTGGGGGAGGAATTCATGGGATAAAATCACTGACAGCTGTGTTGCCCAGACCCTGTGAGCAGGCGACATGGGCAGGGAAGAAAAGTCCCTGAGTCCCAGGTCAGAAATTATTTTCAAGAGTAAACATATGGGTCAGCTGATCATTTTCATTTTCCCAGAGAGATAAAGGCTCTGCCAGCACAGCAAAAGGCTGAAAGGGGCCATAACAAGTGTCTGGTTGGCTTCAGTAGTTCTGTTTTCCCAATGTACAATTTCCTTTGATATCCACTAACATCCGTTTAGTTGAGTTGGGCACCAGCTGAGTCACTGGCTGTAGGTTGAGTGCAATCTTGCATGGGAATAAAGAAGTACAATCAGACGGCCCCTTTTTGGCAATGTCTTCACCCTGTTTCTTAACCCTTGTGTGTCCTGAGATTGCTTCATCCAGAATAGGGCTGACTATCCCCTGTATTTAGAGGGAACAAAATGGCTTGCTTATCTGACTCTGCAGGTTTGTCAGTGCTCTCTTCTCTGAAGAGAAATTTGAGGCTGTATCCACGGGTTCCCAGGTGCACTAGGTTTATGGTCGGTTTCCTGGTGTCTTGGCAGAGAAGTGAATCTAGCAAGTATTGAGAGCTAATGTCCAGGAGAATGGAAGAGAAAGACTCTTGAGATCAAAGCCAAAGAAGCAGTTAGTGTTTCCTGAGTCTGTGTAAGAAGGCTGTAGGGATCTGCTAGTGGGGTGATAGACACCGCTGCCTCTTGGTGATTCTGAGGTCTTGTAGGAGTTGTATTCTCCCCATGGAAAATGATGACGGCCAGTAAAATGGGTGCATTGCACAGGAACTGGCACGGCATCAGCAACTCTGTAGACAAAAATTTAGCGATAATGGGCTTCAGCCCCTGCCTAGCTTTCCTTTTAATGAGATACCGCCTTCTGTGAGTGTACATCAGGGCCCTCGGCTACATGAGTACTGCGGTACCTTCACAGCCTACCCAGGAGTGCCATCATACCATATGTGGGGATCAAGTCCCAGCAGAGAAATCGGCCTGAAAGGCCAGGCTGCAAGGGTCCCTGGCAAGTAGGACACTAGTTGTGGAGGTCTGAGTGACAAAGAGCCCCTGAGTAGGAAGAGGATGTACCTCCTTCCAGTTACTGGTGTGGTACATTTTGGTATTACTCTGAAGGCAGCTTCAAAAAGAAAATCCACCTTGCAATTCAGAGTGGGCATAAAGAACACTGGTTAACTCCTTCAAGGCCCACAACAACTGAAGAACAGGATGGCAACTCACCTCAATATGAGGTTAGAATCAAGTAAGATACCCCAGTATCAAGAAGGCTTCCTGGGTCCAGAGTAACCCAACGGTCCTGCAAGGTGATGAGGATGCCCTTGTGAGCGGCCACACAGATAACCATGGGCACAGCCAGTCACTGTCCAGGCATTTTTCCCTGGCCACCGTGGTGACAGGTGACCTCATCCCCTTTGGGAAATGAGGGCAGCCCTTCTTCCAGCACCAAGGGTCTTCCTCCTTGTTCAGACAAGGTTGGCAAGGACTGAGCAGTATTTAAGGGCATTCCTTTCCCCAGGGATCACTTACACGTAGATTAGCCCCATCACTCTCTGGATTACTTTAGTTCCCTTGGCTCCATGGGCTTTATCATGAGACTTATTCATTAGGGCCACCATGGCTTTTGTCTGTCTTTTTTCCTTACTCAACTCCCATTTATCCTCTTCTTTGTCATGCTCGTTAAGGACCGCATAACCTCCGATGACCAATTGACTTGTCCCAGCTTTGGGCCATGTTATTTTTGGAGGTTCTTAATGTCTGGAGTTGGCTGGTTAATAAAATAACCAGGATAATTCGGCCCTCTCTAGACTCCTGGTTTAAATTAATGTATTTACTGAGTGCCTTTTAATTAATGTATTTACTAAGCCAGTGTTGGAAAGCTGCTGGATTTTCATCAGATCACTAACGTTCCTGATCTTATCATAAGTTACAGGCGTGTCTTTCTGCATAGCCACTAGGATGGCCTGGAAGTATAACCTCCATTTGGTTTCTCCACCTTCAGAGTTATTATCCCTCCTGGATCCCTCTTGGTACCGAAATAATGCATCAGTTAGCTGTTTACCATCAGACGCAACCACAAAAACCTCACTGTTGGCCTGTCTTGCAGCTATTATTATAATCCTCTCTTTCTATTGCTGTGCAGAAAGAAACCAGGATGAACTGGCCATATCAAAAACCATCGTCAGGGAATGGAATCTATCAGCACATTATCCAAGTTCCTCAGGAAACTTACCCAGTTTTTCTTTGCATCACTGAATATCCATGACTGAAACAGGACCTGAACTTGGACAGTACCATCCATGCCTGCCACTCCTCTGAGGGATAGAATGGTGTCAGACTTAGATGCTGAGTTCCCTGGGTTTCAGCTTATGGAATGCAGACCTGACCTAGTGTGGTGTGGGCCCAGGAGGATATCTTTGCCTCCTGGGGGCACTGGCTTTGCAAGTTGGTGAGGAGGTAGGCTATGAGGGGGCCTGGCAGGAGGAGGTCTTCAGCAGCATCAGCTTTTGATGAGGGATTAGTTCTGTGGAAATGGTCAAACTTTGGCAGAGGGCCAGGAAGGCTGGGGCCTAAGGTACCTCGGACCATTTTTCCCTATCTTCTCCAAGCAGGGAGTCAGGTGGAGTGGATGAGACATTACCCATGGTGAGTCCGTGGGCAAGAGCAGTAAAAATTAACTTGTGGGAACTTTATAGGCCATTCCCTCGGTCTGTCCCCAACTTGTTCAGTCCAAGGGCATCCCTTCGTAAAGGCAACCTCCTTAGGATTAGGTCATGGGAACTTCATAAAGTGTTCCCTGTGTCCATCCCTGGCCTGGTCAGCCCCAGTATCTCCAGGTAGAGCTGAACTCCTTGGGCTTCAGATGCCAGACATCTCTGACCTTGTGAGGGCACCAACACCACTTCCTTTGGTGAATTCCTCCTTTGGCCAAAACCTATCTCCAAAACAGGGGTCCAGAGTCGGCCCCTAACTAGCTGGATGCCTCTAGCCGATTATAAAAATCACCTAATGTCCCGATGTGTGTATCCAAAGAGGGATAGCAAGCACTTCCCCAATGACAGATCTCAATAAAACCCTACCTTAATCTTGAGCCCCTGTATATTACCCTTGCC